GCTCTGATCGCACAAGTCACTCAAGTCGCCGAAGCCGGTGTGCTGGCATGGATAGCACATGGTCCAGTCACCGGAGCCTTGTGCGTGTAATAATGATGCTGAGTGATTCACTTGCTATTCGGGCTTTAAAAACAAGGTGGCGAACACGCGCATTACTCACACGGTGCTTCTATCAGAGGTGCATGTTCGGGCTGGGGTCCGAAGGATGATGAACACTTCTGGCTGGATACACTGGCTGACATGGCAAGGAGTCGACCTCAGTGGCGTTTGTGTTGTGAGTTTCTGTCCCTTCCTATCACGTTTAGCTTGCCCCTCCATACACCATCTCTCTTGACGCAGAATAGGTTACTAAGTAATCCGTTGTCCCTTTTTGCATCCTATAATTGTCATTATCTTGCTTTTTCGCAAGTCTTATCTTTATTTATCGCGGCATAATAGTTGAAGTATGTTACGCACCTTCAGCTAGTGTGATGGTGATGATGCTGCTGCTGATGATGATGATGGGCCAGGCTGAGAAAGCGCATGTGGTCGAACGTAACAAGCCTTTTTCTATCGGTCGATTTGAAGGGCCAGATTTCAAGGTCGTAGAGTACGACTGAACGGAGAGCAGTGTGGCAGATTTTATGCGGACAACGTGGGACATCCTTAAATCAAATATTGTAGCCGGAACAGGCGCGCAAGTGATGTTGGCAAACAATTGATAGGCGGATGAAGAACATGACACGGTAAGCGCGCAGGTGGTTCGGATTCGGTGGTCAGTCCGTTGGTCAGTCTGTTGCCAAAAACTAGCACGTGTGCCATATTATTGTTCGCTCATTGCTCGCGATAGAATCAAGCAATGATGCGCAGCTATCGGTGATCCAAATTGACAACTCTTCCAATGTTCTCCGCGTGCGTTATCGTGAATGTGATCAACAGAACAGCGCTGGACACTGCGGCGTTTTATATCCCGACTCTGATCAAAAAGCTGATGTTTCGACGGCCGTTTATGTACTTCACAGTACACCGGCTGGAGCCAACATAAATATCGGTGAGCCCGCAACCAAGCGGTGACTATCTTGTGATAGCGAAAGGTCAGTGGGAAGTTCTGGTCAATCCTTGTTTACCAATGGGCGACTGAGAATCCAAACAGACACACGGGCGGTACCAATGAGTGGAGAAACATCTTCAGTGATGGGTAAATGTCGGTGCAGCTACCTACGCTGCTTCCGGTTTCATTTTCCGACCAGCGCCGACAATGCAGCGTGTGTGGCACGTGTGATGCATTGTCGCTGCCATTAGACTGCATATGTATATGTGTTGTCGCATGTTTTAAAGCGTTTGATTTGAATGTTGACAAGGTGGCTGCCTATCAGATACCACCACCACGAACATTGACTCCAGGAGACTGTTGAGGGAGAGGAGGTGCACACTTTTCGTGACGGTGCTAGGCCCTAAGTGTGGTTCCATTTAGTGGGGAACGGGCCACGGTCCAGCTATCGCCTTGGGTGCTTTTAGTACGCATTATTCTCTAGTTAGACAGAGTGTTGCCGTGCATGTTGAAGGAGAAAGGGCCGACTCCTTTGCTGAAACATGGCTCCCATTCACATGCCTCCCGGTCTTGTTCCTTCGGGTTTATAGGGAAGAAGGTGTGTGTGGATGGAGCTGTGGGTGGTCTCTCTGTAGATCTAGACGTCCTGTGACTGTCTTATGAAGGCCACAGTGACAGGCAAATCCATCCACGAATGTCACCAAATACAGAGGAATTACTAGCAGTACTGGTGTGGTCTGTGAACATCTTTGCGAAATGAAGCGGAGCTCATCGGTTACTCAGCCTCACATATAAGTGCCGCTGCTTTAGGAGAGAAAAATCATACGAACAGGGTTGACCGCCGGAGTTGTTGGAGAATTGGTATCGTCCCTGAATATTGCGATAACTAACCATGTGGCCGTTCGAGCAGACATCACAATCGTGATGAGCGAACACTCAGGGCCTCATAACTGCGTGAAGTCACCAATAAGTCAGCTGAGGTTTATAGGCCGTGACTACATGACTGAATCGCACTCATGGTAAGTGATCGGTGAGGTTCAAACCGTAGTAAACTAGTTCCTTCCACAGTTAGGCCGGTAGCAATTCCGGTGCAAATTAATCTGCTTTAGAAACATAATGTTGCGTATTTTTCGTTTGAACTATTCTGGTTGTCAGTAGGGAGAAATTAAAAATCCGTAGGTTACATCACGCGTGGTGACGACGAGGGATCATATCAGCACAATACTACAGGGTGGCCAGTACTCGCGCTGGAGACTATGGGAAGTTGCCGGCATTTGGTTGGTGTACCGGGTGAGTAACGACGATAACCACAAGCTAGCAATTGGCGTCTTACTGAGTAGCCCAATGACAGCGAACCAGCCAAGGTGGTTGGAATGCGTTAGTGAACTGCCAGTTGATCACCTGCTATTTAGCAGTGTCCAATTGGACAAAACTAAGGTGTAGAGCTAGTGGACGCCATGGAAAAGAGACTGATGAATCAGTCTAAAAGGAGAAGTACTGCAAGTTAGCTCAGTTCTCTGGAGTGAGGACTCCGATATGAACCATACTGGAAGATGGCCATATAGAACATGACCTGACTGATGACTCAGCACCGACTGTGATTTTAGTTTTTTGCTCACTAACTCTTCCATATGATGACCCAAATATATGGTTGGCGGCATCCGGTTTCGGATTTGCCTGTCACTGCGTCCAGCTACAGGACGCCTGCGCCTACAGAGGGACCATGGGTGGCTTGCGCTGCACCACCCACAGCTCCAACCACACCCCCATATCCAGAGCAAACCCGAAGGAATAAGACCAGGAGGCAAGTGGATGGCAGCAACGTTTCATCAACGGAGCCGACCCACACTCCTACACATGCAAACACAAGCATGCTGTATTTGGGAATCAAGTGCACACAAGATGGTGGCTGGACCGTAGTCCGCTCCACACTGAGTGCATGGAACCACTCTTCGAGCCTAGCAAGGCCACAAGAACCGTGCACCCCGTCCCCTCCAGTAACGACCAACTATCGTCTGGAACCAGTATGGACGTGGTAGTGGGTGATAGACAGGTAGGCACCTTGTCAATATGCGCATCAAGCGCAACCACACCGGGGATATCAAGCAACAGCCAATCACTTGTAACGACAAGATGAAATAAAATAAATCGGATAATGCATACAGATACGGTGACATAACTCTAAATGAGCGTAGATAAAATATAGTTACGAACGAATCCCCGATAAGTTCAGACGTAAGAAAATATATTTTAAAAAAATGTCACAAGCGCGACAGTTATCCAAATTAAGCAAAATTAGCTTAAGCGCCGGATGCAGGCTTATAGAAGATAGTGCAGGTAGAGATTAATAAGAGAAAGAAAAGCATTAGGACAAAATTGAAAACCCGCCACCTGAAATAAAGAGACTTAACATGCAAGCACGTGGTTAGTTAATCGAATGCAGCGTACCTACAAACGCTGCGCCGCTTTTGCCTACGTTCTCTGCAGGATCCGTCGTCGCTTTGGTGGTGGTCGCGAGTGGACTCGCTAATGGCTCAATAGGCCTACCTGACTCAGGCACTCGCGACCGCAGGTGCTACAGAACCATACGCTCGATGTCGATGGAGTATAATTCACCGGCGCTTGCCACTTCCGCACTTGCCGCTTCTTCTCTGCATGTACGAGGACTATCTCTCGCACCTCGGCAACTGTCTTCGTGATCAGATCGCGCCATCCATGCCGATCAACCGCCTTCGATTCCCATGACCTGCAACCAAGATTAGAACGTGAGAGGCTCACTTTGATTATGTGCTGGTAAGGTAACTTTGGTTTCCCCTCATGCCGCTTTCCAGATCCATATATATATATATATATATATATATATATATATATATATATATATATATATATATATATATATATGCTAATGTTAGAGTAAGGGTAGGAGCACCAACTGGATCTGTTACACGTCAGCGCTCCAGTCACAGGTGGTAAAAGAAAATTGGAACACTGAGTGCTCGGGTCCAAAAGTAACAGTCATTGTTCAAGGATCCACGTAGCGGTGAGAATAATGTGTAGAAACAAAAGTTTGCATAAGAGCTGTGCAGGATGGTTTTGAAGGGACAGCAACGGAAGGGACCCTGGGAGATGTTGGAATCCGGATACATAACACCGAGTCCTGTGGTCCGCCGTGGCCCCCGGAACGGTTAAATAGCTAACAACGGGTCAGAGGCGCTCGTGATGAGGTCGCCAAACAAGATGTGTGTCAGATGAGGACGCGAGACCTGACAAACATGAACCGGTTGATTGAAGTCTCTCATAAAAGCCTAGTTGCGACCATTTTCCTAGTCTGAATGACAGACGCGGTCTGCTGAGGTTTGTACTTGTGGGCTAAATGACGCTATTTGTGGGACGATTTTCCACAAGAACAAGACAAACGCTCACCATGAATGTACGCAAATGCGACGGGGAGCAGGAAAGACAGGCCTTCCGTTGAGTCCTTTTACGATCCAGTAAAAGGAGAATACGGTCAATACGGAGGCCGGTGACATGTGTGAACTTCCGCATAAAACGGTCTACACCATTAAATGGGTAGCGGAGTGTGTGGGTTTCTGTGACTACGTCAAAGGTGAACTCAATTTGCGCGATCTTGTGGGAACAGGCATTCCTATGATTGAAGCAGTCCAATGAGCTGAAATAAGTGCCCCCAAACGTGACTATACAGTTCCGCAGATGAGCAATCGATAGCATGTGTTACTTTTTTGCATTCGTATTCATCAAGATAATAAACAAGCTGGAGAGTCTACGCTTTTCGATGTTCAAACCGTCAGTCAGCCAGATTAAAGTGTTCTATCATATGCTAAAATGTGGAGCACGATGTGGAGGGGACGTTGCACGACTCGGTCAAGAGAAACTAAACCGTAGGAAAGCATGAGAGATGCGGTACAATTCACAGAAAAGAAGAACCATGCAATGAGGAGAATGCACTTACTTTAAGTTTCGGGAAGACTGCAACAACATCGTCCAAAAGGGGAAGGAGCCAGTCGGTGAGAAATGCTATCTGGCTGTCGCATCGAGTGATCTTGTCTGGATCCATATTCGGAGCGACAGGAAGGCCCAACCGTCGTTCAGCGCGAGCCTTTGGTGTGAAAAGAAATGATGTACTACGGTGTGACCGTTGCGAGAATGACATTGTGGAGTCAAATGGGGCCAGCGAAACTTACTTGATAAAAGAATTCGTCCAACAGGCAATCTAGCCAGGGATCTGCAACAGCTGGGGGTCGCACTTCGTTTGACAGGTCACAGACTTTTAGCAAGATAAACATCACAGTTATGCGTGCCTCTGGATCCGAGTTCAGGCGTTGGCGTAGAGCACTGCCGTCCCAGTCGAAGCCGGAGTCGAGCACTCCTGCTTGTAAGCACGGGGAAGCTGATGCTCCTCTCGCTTTCTGCCCGCGGAGCATCTGACGGAAATGTTCCATGCAGTCGGCGTGACAGCTCATATCGGTGGAGAGGATGCACCTGGATAAGGGGGGAAGGATTCACAGTAGATAAGGGCAGTGTGGAAAGGGGGTGAAAAGAAGAATCCGAAGAATAATGATTGAAGTGGGCAACAAAAAGAGTGAAATGCGCATTGTCAGTGTTGAGCTCAAAGAGGCTTGGGAACAACCGGTCGGTGTATTTGCTGGGCAACGTTTCGCTTTTGACACAAAAACTTCGTCAGTCTAAGTGAATCAGTATGCAATCGGAGCTGCATTTCTGTAGCGAACTGGGATGATGATCGCGATAGTAGATGCATGAGCCAAGGTATTATTGTAGACACAGTGCGGAATTTCACCTCAAATGGTTTAGTCACAGTGGGAATGATTCGGATGTTCGTTTGTGCGTAATGGCATTGACAGATAGGTTGGTGACAATGGGAGTCGAGTTCCACTTCCCAATTTCTGCTATCGCGACTATCGTCCCCGTTCGTCAAAAAATGCATACTAAGCACGTAGCCTGAGGAAAGCGAAAGACTGTCCAACAAATGCACCAACCGAATGTCTCCAAACCTCTCTGACCTCATAACAATCGGTTCCAAGTATGTTCCAGTGTCAATATTGCTCACATGGTTTGTATCCATAGAAAAACGCACCGGAATCAGATCTCAAGGAATTGGGAACAGATCGGAAAGGAGTGGACATGCAAACGTGATAGATGTACAAGTTTAGGTATAAATACCGAGTCATCGCACCACAGCAAACGTGCATCTAAGTGTTGTCAGGTACTAGGTACAGGCAAGCTGAGCTTCCGTCACTGAGACATCGCTAAGCAAAGGCCCAAATATGGTATGGCAGTATTGCGACTTAACAGATGACGGTGCTCCTAAGAAAACCAGTCAGGGCAATCCAATGATAATCTAACGGTGTAGACTTCATATCACGTGGGAAAAGTTACAGAGACGTGCAAATCATATGATTATTTATAGAAAAGCGTAAAAGCAACTTCTGGTCAACGCTCTAAACAGGGCATGAAGCGCCTACACATCTCTAGATTGAGATAAAGTTGGAACAAGCAGAGTAACGCGGTGGCTGACGGGAGCCCTCCCCTAACATGATATATGAGTTAGCTGGAAAATAATTAAACAGCCCTTACTGTTTATGGGGCTCCTCATCTTACCGGTGTCTTTGGCAAGAACAATTTCTGCTGGTACTGTGACCTAACTGCTTCAGCAATCGTAGATATTGCTAGTTCGTTTCGAGATTGAACCATCTTTTGCATATGTATACCGGTCCTGGTGGCTTGACCGCTTCGTAACTAGTTTCTCCACATCAAATGACCGCAATAAAAATATAGAGGACAGCGGACCGACCTTACAGAGGCCCCAGCCTCGAATGAGTATTTACAAAAATCATTTTGTCGACGTTCTCTTCCCGCAAAAATATGACCGGCTTGACTGGCACAGTACTTTAAATGGTTGATGAGATAATAGACACCTGTATCGTGGCGTCTTTTCTAGGGCTTTCGTCGAAAGCAAGCACTTGCGTGGATGTGGAACACTGCCCAGTCGTTGGCAGACAGTTTCGATTCTTCAATGTTCTCGCATTTCTGGTGGTTCAAACCACAGATTGTAGGAGAACAGATAGCAAAGCTTACCCTGTCGATACTTCCTCCGGAGGACTACAGTATGCATATGTATTACGTGTTGTCGCCTCACCAAACCACCCACATTCATTCGTGGAACAAGAACCCGCGGCCGTTCAGTGCAAGTCCGTTGCCTCGTCTCTCAGGAACGTATAGACTCATGCAATGTCCGTGGGGAATATGAAGTGCACAGGGGACCTATAGGTTAATTGAACGGAGTTACGATTTCTGCAGGGAGAACCGAGGAATCAATTTGTGGACGAATGCTGATCACTCGCGAGTCGTGACAGTAGGTCAGATGGTGGAAGTCGACGGACAGGTTCAAGATTAGGCCGTTCTCGCCGAGACGGGTTAGTTTGCAAAAGTGATAACCAAAACGCGGACGTTTGCCCGTTCGAATGCTCAGTATTGATTAACCGACTGCTACATAATAATCGCTTACATTCGACAGCCCACCTCCTGTTGGGAATCTATCATGGGTCACCGGCATATGCACTTTCCGGGAGCTGAGCTCAGTTACAATCCCATAGGTTCGGCACCATATCGACTACTTCTCTATAGAAAAGTTATGTCGAGTTGCCGAATCGAGTGCGCTATCCATTCGCATTTCCGTGTGTATACACATTGCGTAGGTGGCGTCCAGTTGGTTTGCCGAACGGCAACCGGTATATTGTGTACGCAGGGTAGAATTGTCCGATCGAACTACCCTCGAACGATACCGTCACTCGTGCCCATATGCCTTCATCACTCAAGGTGAAGTGATAAGCAACCGCCTCGCTTTACTCTATGCTGCATCCGAGCACGTGTAGAAGCACGGGTTTGCATTAATGGATTCTAAATATAGTCCACTTAAAAATGAACAACAGAAATAGCGGACTCCCACTGTTTTCAATATTCGAAAAGTCTGTGTACGGGTGCGTGTAAAGGCAGCATGTTGTATGGCACAATCAATTCAGACGTAGGAAGAATGGCTATGAGAAATACAACCAAGAGCAGACAAACTGATGACGGTAAACCGAAATGTTTGTATGGTTATACGACCATAAACAACGGATGAAGGTACGTCGGTATCGAAGACGAAATGTGAAACAGACGACCAATCGTCTCGCTCCCCGGAAACCCATCATATAAACTAGCAAAGGATTTGTGAAGGAGGTTGAAACATTTGGTTGTCGGGTCCGAACATAGCATCAACAATGCTGAACAATTCCTCAACAAACTGCGGAGTGTCAGAATAGAAGACGACGAAATAATGCTTTCATTCGATGTCACCGCACTCTTCACTTTAATCGGTCACGAATTGGACAAAGAAACCAAGTTGGAACTACTTGAGAATCAACTAAGCCCCACGACAACAATACGACCTGAAAATTTTTGGGAACTCCTGAACCTCTGCGTGACCACTTATTTCCGTTTTGATGGACAAGTGTACCAGCAACTGAGTGGAACACCCATGGGATCATCAACTTCGGGGCACATTGCAGAAGCCGTAATGCAGAAATTGGAGCGTATTGCACTGCCATCTATCAGCTCAAAATTCTGGACACAATACGTGGACGTTTGGCATCGTAAAACGGAACAGAGTACAGGCCACGCACGATTTGCTCAACAGCACATTCGAGGATGACAAATTTACGATTGAATTAGAGGAGGATAACAAGCTACCATTTTTGGATCTACTGGTCACCAGGAATACAGACGGATCTATTGAAACATGCGTATATCGGAAGAAAACGCATAAGAACTAGATATTAAACTACCACAGCAACCACATGATGAATAACAAGTGCTGCATTCAAACCCTGTTCAAAAGAGCAGAAACGCACTGCAGCACAGTCGAATCGCAGAAACAGGAAGAAAATCACCTATATCGAGTGTTTAGAAACAACGGTTATCCGAGAAGTTTCATCAGAAGAAGCTTAAAGAAACGAATGCCTCAGCAACAGCAGCAACAGTCATCTGATCAATCAAACAAACGGATAGTGCTGCCCTACATATCAAGGACCTCTCCGAACTAACAGGAAGATTGTTGCAATCATACGGAATCTCTGTGGCTCACAAGCCAAATGCCACCCTAAGGAAATTGATCTCAAGACCCAAAGGAAAAGTTACTCAAGCAGACCAATGCGATGTCACCTACCAGCTAAAATGCAGCGACTGCGATAAAAAACTACGTCGGATAAACTGGAAGAAAACTTTGCACAAGAATCTCCGAACACAAGGCGGCTGTCAGAAGGCATGATCCACACTCACTGGTTTCTGTGCATGAAGATTAAGAAGGCCACCATTTCGATCTGGAGAATGTAAAGATCCTAGAACATGGAAGTACAAAACACGCGAGGGAGTTTTTGGAAGCCTGGTACCCTACAACGCATTCAATCAATCTGGACTCAGTATACGCCACACTACTGATGAACGACCGCCAACTCGATCGATTGAATCCGGTGGAACGTGTGACTAGACAATCAGAACGGACGACAAACTCGCTCGCAAGAGCAAGCAGACAAGGCCACGAAACACAAGGGGTCAAAGTCAAAGTTCATCTGCTCAGTAACCAAGCTGAACGCGGATCGAAGTCCCAATCAGTGGGATTGCTCGGCTCTACGGCCAACCACGGCGGTATAAAAATGCACGCACACCACGCTCAGCGCACTCTCACCGAGGCGCCTCTACGCTACGCTACATTATTGCATGCTACTCAACTATGCCCTGATGATGTCACCTCTAGTGGTGACGAAACGTTTTCAACAAAATTGCCAAGCTCAGCGAACAGTTCAACATCAACCTGAGCTACCAGTCTTCAATTCTATAGCCAACAGACGCTTAATTTTGCACGGTAAATGCAATGAATATGATACGGACACGATTATAAGCACCAATCAACGCAACTCGCTTACAAAGTGACAAAGTAAATATTCAATAGGCTGAGACAGGCTGGAGACAGGTTGCAACAAAGCCACCCGGACAACGTGGACAAAAAGAGTTAGCAAAGAGAAATCGGGTCTTTCGTTTCACTCGAGCTGACATTGAGTTGGCAGGAAATATTCAGAGAGTTAGTGACAGTCGTTGTGGATACCATAAGGAGCTTACTCTCAGATTTCAGCAAATGAACTTCACAAGTTGGGCACAAAGACCTGAAACCCCCGAGTTGCTTTGTGCGAATTACAAAGATTGGCACTTTATTCGATTTGCAGCGATGCAGTGAACCGCAGCCAAATAGTTTGAGATGTCACTAACCTGTCGTACGCCCCCTGCTTCGTCGAGGCAAGCTCAAAGACCATCACCACCTGGACATCTCTCTAGCCATTGTAAACGGGAGGTCTGGAATGAAGGAGATAGTCGTTGCAGCTGGAAATCACTTGATAAACGCGAAAGCCTCTATTACACCGGTAGGCTGAAAGTCGTGTGAACCATTCTCGTCCATAGCCTAGCAGTCCAACTTTCGGTTCGGGGGTTCTTACGCTCGAGTTCTTTTAGCAATAATGGTTGGCTGGTAACCATTGGCCCGAATAGTCACTTGACTGTTCACGTAAATTACATACGAATATCCTGACTACGGATACTTCGAATACATATTCTCTCGTCTCGAAACTGTCAATCATGTGCAGTGTTTATAATTATCAGGCCTGCAAAGACTTCGCAAATTCGTCTAACTGGGGCACAGTTATCGGTGCACTGCATTAGCTACCCTGTAACCATTGTGCTTCAACTGTCCTCCCGTTGAACCGTCTTAATATCGTTGTGTGTCAGCCAAGTGTGATACATCCGACCCCACATGTGCAACACCTACTCGACCTCTTATACCGTCCGAAGATTGCCATGACGGCTGAGCAAGCGCACTACCCGTACGCATGTATTGATCACAATCTGTGTACAGATATTGTGACATCGAAACCATGGCGGAAAAAACAGGGTTAGATTAAAAGAAGAAAGAAAACAAACAACTTTTTGTCCATTTTTCCACTCGCAGTTTTGTGTTTTTTGATGTTTTTTCTTGGGGGAGGGAAGTGGATGATCCATCCATGGTTCGTCAGTGGGCGAGACATTACCCGCGTGCCAAGGCCACACCTGTGCCTTTCGGCTGGTTAAGCACTGTCTTAGATTCATCCACCATGTGTACTAAGCCACCAGTGAGCAGTCATTTGTTGTACACCGGCCAGTAGCCTAAAGGATCACAGACCTGCTTGGTAAACCAAGGGCGCGGGTTCTGGCCTGCGTAGGGGACCGGGTGACTTTCGCAGCATCCTTAGCCCACGCGCGACTAGTTTTGATTGCGCGGCAGTGAAACGTCGGTACAGCGTGCCGGCGTACTTCTGATACCGATTAGTTGTACACTTGTCAATTGAAGCCAACGTCATTGGCTATGTGGATTGAACTGCAGATTGTTGTTACCGGATGGTGCTGGGAGCCCGCATTGTTGAAGTGGACTATTATGTGATCTGCATTGCATGGTAGTACCGTTTCCTGATTCCAGGCTTTGTTTGTAGATTGGTGCCTGGGGGACGCGTTGATCTAGCAATTCCAGACGGTTCTGTCGTTCATAGTCCACACTTGAAGGGCACAGGCAAGGAGGAAACCGGTGTCGGCAGTGGCAATGTTAAGAGAGGGCAGCAAGAAAAATAGCTACGCCACTGATCACCTCGGCTTATAAGATGACCGTAGCCTACGCTTGTGCAGATAGAGATGCCAATTAGAACTATCAATTAAAATGGGATGGCAGCTATGTAAGTAGAACTCAAACGATCGCTATAAGTCATAGTTGAGTCGTGGAGATGTCAAAAAATGAGCTGTGCCCTAGATTGTAGATTACTGATCTGAAGATATCGTGTGGCATGGACCAAAGACATATCCGGCATCCCAGTGCAGGCGCAAGAAGCTAGTGGCCATCTTTGGAATGGGGAGGTGTCTACCAGCAGTAGTGTACTGCTTGAAGTTCGCACATAGCATGATACGCAAGGGAATGCACGAAATGCAACACGAGGCCTGTACCATCAGTCACATACTTGGTAGGACCTTTCAGTATACAGGTCAGTGACAAAGGCTTACTCACAGATGCAAGACTGCATCTGACGGATCAAATGAACCACACACATGTGTAGTGAGACAGATCCAATATCCAGATTGTCGATAATTTTACTGGCCCATTGGTAGTCGAAAACGTAGACAGTATAAGTCGTGGCCCGATTAAGGTACTAGGTGCTTGGTCGGATTTAAAGAAGTGCGCTGCTAGAATGAGTAGAATTCGCCCGAATAGAAACAAACACTCACCACTTGCTCGAGTCAACCTAGTGTACATGTTGCACAGGAGAGGCTCCAGTAGGAGATACGGACGGTAAGTCAGGCGAGTGATGATGACAAGCAAAAGAGCAAAACCATTGGAAATCCATTCATATCTCGATCGGAACCAAAGGATGATGCAGGGGAAGGTCCGCTAAAGGTAAAATGCATCCTAAATGACAACACAGTACAAGTGTCCACATGTTTTCTACCAACCCAAAGAGACCTTTAATGAAGAGAAATCGGAATGCCAAGAAGTCGGTGTACAGGTTAAGTTGCCTAACGGAAGTCCACACGCACACACAGACCGGACCATTAGATTTGTCAAAATCTGCAATTATTCCTATTCTTGGTGGAGCGCGTATGCCGGTACATTAAGAGCTGGGTGTCTACATCGTGGATACTCAAGCCAGCCTCATGCAATGCCTTAGGTGGACTGATTTATGGGGTATACAAAGGACGGGTCAATACTTGCCAGTTCACAAATCACTAAACCGGTGGAGGAACAGATTCTACTGTATTAGACAAATCGCCGGAGACAGTGGAGGAAATGGAACAAGCAATGAGAATGGACTGAAACAGCCGTGTTTCCCAGAAAATTTGCCACCGGATCAGACTTGTGACAAAAGAGGACACGTCTACAAATAAACGAAGTATTGAGCTCTAGGAACCAAATCTAGGAACCATTTGCCACCCACAGACACGAATGTAGGGCTCGGTGCTTTGAGGCGCAAGGCTCAGGTTGGCCGCGGAGCACCTTGACGATGGCCTTGTCGGCACCAACAAATCTGAACAAAGAAAACGTGTAGTAAGTCGCTGTGCAAGTATACTGATTACATACATAATCGTTAAGAAGAAGAAGGTATCAGCAGTACGCCGGTATGCAGTACCGACGATTCGCTGTCGCGCAACCCTCACAAGTCGCGCGTGGATTAGGGATACTGCGAGGGTCATCCGGTCTCTACGTAGGCTCGAACCCACCCCCTCAGAGTGCAGGGCAGGTTTGTGATCCTGAGGGCTACGGGACGGCCAACCGGTCTGTAGAGTCTAACCCACCTGAAAATTCGTTATCACGCCGGAACACTTTTCAAGTGATAACTGTATCATACTACATGGACACTTCATTGATAGCAGTGGCAAAAACCACGGTCAGCTAGTTGACAAAAGTTGCGAGAACAATCACAAAAAGTTGGAAGAATAATCCGAACAGCAGCGTTTTAAATCAAGCAAACTTATTGCCTGACTTGAGCAATGATGTTGAAACAGTGCAGAAAATCTAGCAAAAGTGTTCAGTGGTTCGGGAGAGTGTTTAGAAGACATCCATATGAAAGTATATCGTCAGCGGATACTAACAACTGCGGGATGCCCAATGATCTGATTACCTGATTACTGCCTTTCGAAACCACCGCAACTCGGACGGATCCAAGCCGCAAAGAATGTTAGTGTAGGGACAAGAGATGAGATCAAAGGCCACGGCACAGTGATGATTTTCCAGCGGTGAATTGTCGTTGTATCGGAGGGCTAACCAAGAACCAACATTAACCTGTAAGTGGGATGGCGAAAAAGAAATACATATTAGGCACTGAGACAATGATTGACAGTAGAAACCAATGCATTCCACTGAAGCATTCAAGGTGGTCCAATTGTAAGAAGCCACTATGGTGAGCTGAGTCAAGATCAACATATGCGAGATATGTGATAAAGTGGTGTGTGATGTTCATGGGGAACAAGAAACGAACGGGTGAAAAAGGTAAGAGAATTGCAACGAATATATGCTTTATAGAGATAGGTATTGTGGAATGGCCACAGTCATGGCCAGTAGGCCAGCGGCCGGACAGAGGAAGTGAGTCCCAAAGTGAGCAGCATCTTCCCTTATCACCATCATCACCAATACACGTTGGTCGAGGGTGAGAAACTCACGTCAGCTAATGTGCCGCGATACAAAATAGCTAAAAAAGCAACCTAATGCTAAAATCACATTATGCATTGAGATCGTTGTTGGAGAGGGGAGCTAAAAGAGAGGATAGGGACAAAGTGACCCACAACATAAACGCCATTGAGGTCGGCTCCTCTTCATGTCACCCAGCGTATACAAGCAAACGTGTTCATAGTACTTTGGACCCCAGCCAGGCAGTCGAGAAAAACCAGCCGACGCCATGTTCAAAGTGAGGGACTTCATTCATCTTGATCGGCATAATGTGGCCTCTCCACCTCTTTTTCCATCTACATCCCAGGTGCGCAAACAATGCTCGTCGCGGGAGTCAGTGTGCTGAGATGCGCAACATGTGGCCTAGTCATCGGAGCCTGGTGCGTGATAGTATGGTGCTGAGAGGCTCACTCGCTCTTACTCCACCGAATACGCGACGCGGAACACGCGCTGTTCCTACGTGACATAAACTAAGCTTCGAAGGCAGGGTTGGTCGAAGGTAACAAGCCTATTTATGTCTGTCAAGTTCATGAGCCAGGTTTCGCAACCGTATAGGAGGGTCGAACGGACAACTGCCCTTCAGAGCGTGAATAATGTCACGCCGGAGCCACAGGTGGCGGTGATTGTCAAACGCACCCCGAGGTTTCGATATACAATTCCTGACCTCAGCTTCAATGCTGAGGGCGCTAACATAGCTGCCCAGGTATTTGAATTCCTGAACGACTTCTAGCTGACCATCACCAAGCGTCGGCGCAGGGGTAGATCCTTGATAATTTTGTAAGAATTTGCATTTCGGTGGTGCAAAGCATAGGCCGAAACGACTGATAAACAGAACTAATTTATCCAGTGCAACTTGGCACATTCGGGAGCTGTCACAGATGAGCGCAATATTGTTGGCATACTCCAAGTCAAGCACTCGGTCACCTAGGAGCAGCTGAACATGTAAGTTGTGCTTGGCGAACGCCATTTCCATGACTCTGTCAATGGTGAAGATAAAGAAAAAAGGTAACAGCCGGCAACCTAGTTTCATGCCGCTAGAGATGGTGAAGGACGGCGACAGCTGGCCGTAAACCCTCACGCTGCCCGAACTATGCGCGTACAGCGCTCTTATGACATTTACATATTTATCGAGCACACCTTTCCTTATCAAACAGTCCCAAAGAACACATCGATCAACCGAATCAAAGGCCTGTTTGATGTCTAGGAACACCACCACGGTGGGTCGCCAGTAAACATGTCTGTGCTCCAACAATTGACGTAATGTGAAGGTGTGTTCCAGGTAGGCTCGATTTCGACGAAACCCGGCCTGCATCTCGCGCATCTGGCTTTCGCGAGTGCAAGTTTGTCTATGGAGGACGGCAGAGGCAAGTAACTTAGAGGCAGTTGAGATCAGACTGGTTCCACTAGGACTGTCACATTCTGAGACTTCATTGAAAATTTGGACTATAACGGAGCGTCTCCAGTCTGTTGGGACAGCCTCTTGCTCCCATAGTTTTAACAGTATGTAACTGGTCCAAAAGAGCATAGCGTCGAATTTGAAGAGGACTGGATGACGTCCATCTACTCCACAGACTTTGTTCAATTTCAGCCGTCTGATCTCACGTTCGATTTCTGTGGGTGAGCGCGGGTCCAAGGTGGACGGTTCATGGAGTAGGGTGATCATTGGCCGGTGGAGAAACTGGCAACTGATTAAACTGCTCCAGGAAGTGTTCGACCCAACGCTCCAGGCGCTTTGACAAGCCGTGGATCGGCTGTCCACTCTCGTCAAAATATGGTCTCGCTTAAACCAGGTCTTCCACTGCCCGTTTCTCGTATCAGACGGAATAACATCCGATGGTTAAGAAGGGCAGCAGCTGTTTCCATCTCCGATGCACGATTCGTGATCTCATTTCAAGCTAACACAGTTTCGCCCTATCTTTGAGAGTCTCATTATATTCGCTTCAAGTCGGAACACGTTGGCGAGCATCCAGAAGTTCCAGAGACTGCGTAGAAACCCAACATCTAGGTTGGCAATTTGATTTGCTACATAAAGGCAGGCCTGCTGTTAATAACGTCTGGCAGATATGCGACCATTGATCTCAACTGTGTACAGTGGGCGCTTGCTCAGTCCGGATGACATTAAGAACATCTGGCTTCTCCAGTTGGCTGGTGTCTATGCACTCACAGCGACGTTGCGGACATCCGCCAAAACGCCCCCGAAGGTCGACGCAAACAAGTGCGTGGTCAGAGTCTACGCTCGTACTCCAAATCGAGCGACGATTTTGAACACAGCCCTCCAGCAGTAACTAATCTCAACATGATCGACTTGCTCCCATGGTTGGTCCGAGGCTGGTGTGCGCTGTCATCCTCCGGCGGGTGCTGTGTAGGGAGTTAGCACTCGTAATAAAGAGACGAACATCTTCACATAGGTTTAGCCACCGCTAACCGTTATCAATGCGGGAGTCTACACTGTGTTGGCCGTCCAGATAAAGCTAACCAGTGGACAGCTTTCCAATTTGGGCATTCAAACCCCAGCCAGCACCCCATTATCCGTACTTCTTCTGTAACGGAGGAGCGCGTTCACTTGGTGATAGAAGTCGCCTTTCACCGAGCCAGCGCCACAATTTGTGCGCGAGTAGGCCGCAATGACAAACAAGTACCGTTTGTTCTCACGCGACTTCGAGGTGTTGAACGAGCCAGCACCGTCCTTCGCGGCAACTGGTGACAGCTTAGTCTACAAAGGCAGCGTATCGATCCGATTACAAGGAAGACTGAGTGTGCACAGGCGGTTCAGCAGATCGGGGAGCTCAAACATTCAGCTAAACGCACCTATGTTTAAAGTGCACGTGGATCTGCGTGAGAACACCTACGGATCATAACAACACCGGAAGAATGCAAACATAACGCACGCTTGATTGAAATACACACTTTTTCCTCTCCAAATTTCTCGCATATCGACTGCAGTATAACATGCAACAAACACCGATCGACTGCCCATTTTGGCTGCAAGTTCTTCCTGTCGGCAGTACGACAATAGTAAGTCACTGTCGGTTCAAGTAAGTCACCTCGACACTTCAGCTGTAGGCTACGCTATTTTCGTGAGTCAGCGTTGACAGTTCATCCTGCACTGGTCAAAAGATGCATACGCATTTCATTCCTCAGCCGTGCGTCCTCATGTGATGAAATGCGGAAAATTCCACTTGGCCGCTTGCTTCGGCTTGCGTGGGGAGACAAACAACAGAGTGGTGTAGAGCAAATGGGCAAAAATGATAATGACGCCGAACAGATTGCATACTATCGACGACAGCACAAATGACAGTTAGGTCTAGAGAGTAATGGGGTATTACGAGGAGGCTCGTCACGAATAAATGTTAATCGTAAGAGGATTGTTGTGTTCTCCTGGCTCGGAGAACACAACAATCCTCTCATCCACACTCCGAGCTACAGGCATTCTCAATAATTTCTCAACATTAATCATGTCGGTCCACCGCCGTCGTTGATGATGTGGTCCGTTAAATTGCCGGTTCCTAGGATTAACATCATCATGAGTCCAGATCCAGCATATGCACACTACTGATACCTCCAAATAGAATGGGACGACCGTCTGGAGCTGGTGGCTGTCACAGTGAGTCTAGCTGAAACTAATTTTCTCAAATTAATTATTTCAGTCGCTTTGCAAGACATATAACCAGAACATAACCAAACGATACGATGGCGGCGGTAGGCACAAGGGTTGCCGGTGAACTGTCGCAGAACATATACTTGTAGGTCATCTTAAATACGGATAATCAACTAGGTTCGTGCAGTAGAGTACAGACTCGCCAGCAACAAGGATGGAAGAAGGCGAGTAAGGAAAAGGCATCGGCAAGATGGAATCAGAGGTCGAAGCAGGAAAGTCATCAAATTCTTCACCATGCAAATCGGATAAGATAGCGACCAGCCTATTGGTAGGATCCGTTGATGCTTCTGCTTAATGTGTTAAGTACAATCAGTCCCAATGGTTTAAACAAATCCAGAAACCAGACATGAATGCCTCCTGCTGAACATAGTGCCTAAGGAGTAAGACTAGCTAGAAGCAGTCACATCTCAGCTGTTGTGACGAAAGTCGTGGTCGGAGACGATGAAGGACGGAAAAGCGGTCAGTGTAAAGAAGGGAGATGTTGTGAAAGTTGTTTTCGAGATGGCTTATCACACAAGGGCCAAGTGTGACCGCGACTTCAGGGATGGAGTTGAGCTGGTAATTTCCCCAGATTACCAACTGTTTGAAATTGAAGACTGTCCTAAGGATGTACCGACCATAGCACAACACAGACCTCCGAGATTGTGATCGAGAGTAGTGAAAATAGCCCGGGACAGTTAGAAACAGGCTACCAGACCCTTAAGGAGAAAGAGTGGGTCCAGAGATTGCTGTTGCAGCAGGTTAAGTCCGAAGTCAATAAACTAGCAGTACCATGTGGAAGCGAGCACATCATCTTCTTATGGATAGAGCACTTTGACAGAAGCCGATGGCGATAGTGTCTGCCATTGCAGATAAGCGGTAGGTGATCAGTTTAGAGCGAACTCCCCTCCCATGATAGATCGGGCGGAAGGCCTCTGTGATGGCGATCGATTGATTAGTATGGGCTAGATGTAAGACAATCGTAGTGGTGTAGGTTTTGTCTACTTCACGACCCAACTAGGCTGGGTGATGCTCCAGCACACATATGGCTAAGCGCCTTGTGGTGTACTTATGTAACTTGTCCCACAGGAACATGTAAATTTGTAAACACAAAAGAGCAATGAAAATTTGTTCGGAAGATACAATTGTACAATTGTATGTATAAAAATAAAAAATCATATTTAAAATGTTTTGGAAAACTGGTAGCTCGGGTTGATAATTCAATTGCTCATTTGTTCGCCGAGATGCGAAATTGGTTTGCAAACGTTTCACCGTCATGCGAGACGGCATCATCAGTGCGTCGAGATATGCAGTGTAATCTCGCTGCACTGCATATCTCGACGCACTGATGATGCCGTCTCGCATGACGGTGAAACGTTTGCAAACCAATTTCGCAGCTCGGTGAACAAATGAGCAATTGAATTAAAAAATCATATCTTAACAATGGCCACTCCGAGACATTCATCGACAAAAAGATACCGATTGACTAACGAGACGTTAAAGTGCCTACAGTAGAAAATAAAAATGTGTATTTATCATTGCCTTTCACAGGCGATAATACAACCACAGTTATTATTAGACAATTTAGAAGTGCAATTAGGCACACGTATTTCGCAGGACAGCTACGAATCTTCTTCGCATCCACACTGGTGCTAACTCTACGACTGAAGGGTAAAGTGTCTGTGGAAGCCACCTCCTTTTGTAGGTACTAATTTACTTGTTCCTGTGGGACAAGCGACACAGGCCACTCCACAAGAAATTTAGCCGAACGTGCACGAGAGCGTCACCCAGCGTCAGTGGCGTAACAACGGATTTTGCCGATGGGGCAGTCGTAAGATTTTCGTCCTGACTGAGGGCAAAATAGGCGCATGAAGGCCATTCAATCGGCTCAGGCTAAAGTGCACGGTAGTTTTCGATGAAATGGATACTCGACTTGGACACTGATGATGGTGAGGATGAAAGTGACCACTATGGGACAAGTAAGGGGCTCGCTGGGAAGAATGTTCGCACAGGTGTGAAAGATGGCGCAAATGTGTTGTTGGTCATACAGAGTAACATTAAAATATTCAAACCTCAGCTTATCTGGATATTTTGCCCTTTATATTTAGTAGCAAACATTTGACGGTACTAAAATTCTGCCCCTTGTCACATGCCTCCTGGGACGGATAAACACCCCGGCCCTCCATGCTACGCTCCTGCCCAGCGTGGTTGGCTCGTGGAGTAGACAAAGCCTGCATCACTGCGACTGTCGCACATCCGGCTGTCATCACAAAGACCTTCCATACGATCTATCGTGTGAGGGGAGTTTGTTCCAAACTGAGCACCTACCGCATACTTGCAGTGACAGAGGCAATCACTATCCGTCTAAGCCACCCCGTCGATGTGTGCACAAAGTTTTCGTGAGGACTCTGGCTCTCCCCTGGCCGTCTGGCGCAAGCTTGACCCTTGAGGTGCGACTACAATCGCGGGAACATGTCGAAACACGGCTGTCACCTCAACTTCTTACCCCATTCCTACCACGTGCTGTAACCTGTTCTATCTTAGCTATTTAAATGTGTTGTAGTTAGCGTGATGAGAAATCATCGAAATCGAGCTTGGTTGCTTTACTGACTTTTCATGGGTGGCACAAGGGTTATTCACTATTTGACAGAAGCGTTGACAGTTGAAATAGAAGTCAACTGGCCATTGCAAATACTTTGTTGTCACCACACACCAGCGATCCTCTTTAAGCACCCATCGTCGAAGGTCGAGAGCCGGTGTGTGTCATACACGCGAATTGGCCACGACTCGCTTCCACATAGCAACATCGCAAGAACGGTGGCACTGTAAACGGGACCTTTTAGTAAGAGGGAGACATCCCGTTGACGCCACAAGTTCTTCTGGTTGACGAACGCTGACCAAGCTTTGGCGATACGGAGGGGAACTTCCTACTGAATAGTGCCACCAGCAAACACTCAGCTGCTCAGGTATACAAAGCTATCCACTTGTTCAAGATTGCACGGAAACGGGTGAGTGCCAATCCTGGAGCAGCACTTTTACACTTTGACGTGACGAAGCGTATTCCGTAGTTAGATGTCTCAATCGGCGAACAGTTTAAAATGGATTGCACACTGTGCTATTCATCACCAAGTAAGACGATGCCATCAGTATAATCTAAGTCGGTCACTCGCTTGTCCAGTAGTAGCTACAGAGCAAAATTTTGGTAAACTTCCACAGCTCTCGACAGGACGTCTTCAATCACAAAATTGAGGAGGAAAAGGGACATAGGGCAGCCCGGTCGTATACCGCTTTTGACAGCGAAGAACGACGAAAGCTTGCCATATACTCTCAATCTGCCGGAGATGTGGAAGTAGAGTGGACGCAGGATGGCAATGCACTTCTCTGGGACCGCATACTTTAGCAAGCAATGCCATAAAGGAGGCCGATAAACCGAGGCGAATGCAGCACGGATGTCTAAGAAAGCAACGATGGCAGGTCCCTGGTAAATGTGGCGGTGTTCAAGGATTTGCCAGATGGTGAATATTTGATCCACACACGCACAACCGGGACGGAAGTCAGCTTGTTCTTCCCGGTACTGCGGTTCACGAAACGAGGATAGTCTACGGAGTAGAATGGGTGACAAGAACTTGGAGGCAACGAAAATGAGACTAGTCCTCGGTGATTAGCACATAAAGTGCGAGCACCCTACTTATAACTCGAGGCAATAACTGATTCGCCTCAGGAAAAAGGCACAATGAAGTTAGCTGGCTGATGACAGCTGCGCCTTCATACTTGAACAGCTCCGAAGGAAGTCCGTCTGAACCGGCAACATTGAATCCTTCCAAGTGTCGAATCGCAAGACAAACTTCCGCTTCGCTGGGTGGATCAAGTGTGACGACCTGGGGCGGGTATCTGGGTTCCCAATACATATAAGTGGACGGTGCGGGCCAACTGAACTGCGAATGAACATGTTCGGCCTATCTATCCAAGCGTCTCCGTAGGTTGGCAATTGGCGAACCATCCGTTTCGCAAATAGTCCCACTGATACCAAGCTTTCTGTGGCCAGTGGACCGAATGAGCTGGAAGAGCTTACGAGTATTGCCAGAGAGAGCAACGGCTCTCATTTCCGAAACACACTGAGACCACCAGACTTCACGATCACTGCGTGGGCTTTGTTTGAGCTGCCGACTAACAGAACGGCGCAGTTTATTAAGAGTAGACTCCGCTGGGATATTGCTGCGGCGGTCAAATAGATCCAGGGAGCGCGTGGGGATCCGTGATTACATAGGGTGCTAAGTGTGACCACAGACCACCTGCCCGGAAGAGAGCATGGTCCTCTGCAGGAACGTGCAGTGTTCATGAATCTTTTGTGGCGGGTCGCAGCTGAGTGCATCGACAGGGAAGATTGATAGTTTTGCTGAATCGATAGAGTATATAGCTTAGGTAGTGCTATGAGAATCCATCTAGGAATGAGTGGCGGTTGAAGAAATATGGGCCTGGAGTTAGGCTGCAAAGCATGTTCCCCCGGGTTCAAGAGAGAAACAGGATGTGTGAGTGGTGCACCATAAGCCACCATGATTCGCCTTTAAACAAAGACGTCCTTCCGTTAGGTGAATTCAGTGTGACGGACGAGTCTGGAGACGGGTATAATCAACCTCGAATTTGAGTCCACTCAGCGCAATCGGCTCGTCTAAATGGCCATAAAGTAACCCTGGTCCTTAAGAACGTGTTACAGCGGGGGGGGGGCAAGCCAAACAAGGCAGATGCAAGAGGAAGACTTCGTTGTAAATGCTCTATCTCAACAGATAATACCTGAGGAGTATGTGTATTTGTAACCTACGAGTGAACGAATGTGAATCGTTTGTGTCCCCTAGATTGTTGTGGAGACCATGCGACGATATCATTTGGTCTACACCAAAGCATGAAGATCCCAGACATGTGTTGTCACACCAACGTAAGAACAGTAAAGGAAAATCAGTTAAGGGGCATTAACACCAACACATATAGAAGTTGACAGACAGGGGTCGGTGGGGGAGGCGGTAGGTGACCGACTCACCTGATAAGAGTTCGTGAAGCCAGGATGATCGAGATCATGAGAGACAGCGGAGAAAAGCAAGGCTAGTAGCTCATGTGCGCTGAAGAATGACGGTAATTCTGCCTGTTTTATGATGCTGTACATCTATAACCGAGAGAAACACAGGGGCAAAAAACATGTGTGATATAATAATGGAATGACGACAAAAGTCAAATCGTAAATACAAGCCGAAGTGGTTCATCATGAACGACAAAACGAGACGTTAAAAGTCAAAATTAATTCAGTAAAACGGACGCTTGTGCCAAGCGTGTGATGCTAAGCGATGAATCGATGTAAAATACGACAACATGTGTTTCACTTGTAAACAGCTCTATCAAGTGCGAAAGGTAAACCACCCAACATAGTGAAATCATTGGATGTTGAGGACGTAGATAAGCAAGTGGATTGTTTTGCTTTTGACTATGACTTCTGATTGAATGTCTTGTGTGATGGGAGCACCACATAGTCGGATAAACAAAAACACTCGCGATGCTAAGTGAGGGAATGGGAGTGGGGATGGGACGAACAGAGTCTTCAGAAAGGGTCATGGTGAGAATAAAAGGAGTGAAAACAGCATGACTTAGTAGGGAACGCCTACTGCACCTTGTGAACGAAAATCGTTCGACGAGGCATTCTGAGAGAGAGAGAGAGTAGCAACCTTAATACAATTTTGCGTGAGCTATCCGAAACAGATGCATCCTAACTTATACGCAACAGCCGCCACTGGTGTCCCCACAGGAGGTTTGCACCTATAGCATGTCCATAGCTGACCCACGCTGCACTACCAACAAAACACCAAGCATTCTGTGTAGAGAGGAAGACAGGCGTTTGGGATCAACGATCGCCTGGGGGCTTGCCTGCACTCTCACAGATAAGAGGCCTTACGTAGTAGCCCCAATCTTGAGGACAACGCTGATAGAAGATGGATGAAAGTTAGTGAGATATCAGCAGTACTTCGTGTTGATGTCTTCATGCCATGCACTCGCAGGAGGTTGTACGTGGACTTAGATGCAATCATGGCGCCCAAAACTAGGCAAGGAAGAGAACGCCGAATCTGTGCACTAAAACCGTCAAGCGTTCGTGAACATCTTAACCTTGCTAGATTAATGGCTGTTAGTTGCTCGGTAATGTAGCATTTGGGATAACTTGCATGTATACATAAAAGGATCTGACTCGACCGCAGCTCCCGTTCCCCATGGGACTATTTTTGAGAGCAGTACAGACACGAAGCCCTACATTCCATCATAATACACGAATATTACGCCTTCGCAAAAGCATTCCATGGTTCGGAAACTTTGACAGAGAACAGGTTGCTCTCGAGGTGCGTTGAAAGTGCTTATCGATCAGGTCATCGTGCATTAGTGACACATAGATGTTGGCTGTTAAACGCGTGTGACGTAAATCACCGGTAAATCAATCGATATTCGATGAATCAAAGTCATGTATACCTACCAAATCCGGGCTTCAGGAAATACGGTGATACAAAGGGGACTTTACACCAAAAATGTTCTTGTTCTGGGTCTCATCGAGGCTATCGTCCGTGGAGGTTTCGATCAGAACTATCGAGTACTACCATAACATCTGCCAAGGAGTCTAAACCATGAGAAACACCTGCATGGTGAGGTGTAAACAGGTTGGTGGCACATTGCGCATGTACATAAACACGGAGCAGTCTTCAAAACTGAGTCACTATGCGCACGTCGTGGCTAATCTCCTAGTTGAGATTAGTCAAAAGAAGTAGATGGTATTCATAAGAAATCTGAATTGGGCAAATATCATTGGCAAACGTGATACCGTTGGTGAGGGATACGGCGACAGAGTGAATTAGTGTATGGAACTAAGCTATTCAGTTTAAGAGTAAGCCGTAGAGGCACACTGTAAGGGTGCCCGGAAGGGGTGACCCCCGCGGTGGGCTCCCAATGCTCAGATTAGTGCAACTGCCCAGCGAATGCTACAGAACAGGTAGCCGTCGTCAATCGGATTCAGACAACCATTGTCCACCCTACTGTATTGAACACACACGAGCGTCTGATCGCCTGTACGTGTATCCGTATGGTGTAACGTATTGTTTTGTTCTATGCATCTGATAGTTACCTTCTCCTATTGCCTGAAACCATGTTAAAATAAAAGCATGCATTCTAGTTCTTTCGCATTGCGCAAACTGGTTGGTTCCGACCTCATGTAAGAATCATCTACAACATGCTTGTTTGCACGCTTCCGCAAAAATGGGGATCGGGCCCGAAACGCAGAGCTTGACGGTTAATGCATTCATCCCCCCACACAACTGAGCTCCGGGGAAGATGTTTGTTCCAACGGTTAAGACACCCTGTCGATTGACTTGGAGTGCTGAGTATGCAGATGGTTTCGGGATGCGCAGTGTTTCTTTGGACTACGAATGACAGAAATGAAGTGGAATCCGTTCGATTTGGTCACTGAGGCCGCCGTAGGCGAACCAAACTGCAGATGGAGCAATTTGTGGACTTCGGTAGCGACCGATTCCGGGCAATACTCGATCACAAAATGTCTCTCGGTTGATACAGTATCGACCGATCGTCACAGTCGAGAGTAGCGATGGGAAACCTGTGGCGCAAAAAATGCACAATTTCAGGGTAGCAATACACGAAAATGCCGTGCGAATAGTTCCGTGACCAGTAAATGTGCAAGGGTAACGAACCAGATGGATAAAAATAGTGTCCCCAAATCACCAGGCTCTTGGACGAGCGGACACCGATTGGAAACAACAGGAGAAATCATAAGAGCAGATGAGAACTGGTCTATAACTCATCCTTTTACCTCTACTACTGCTCTGAATGAGTGAAGTAAAGGCCAAAACTAATCTCTGTGGTCATTTAAGTTTCGGAATTGGGCATGGGCTGATGAAGGTAGGACAATAGTGACAGAAGAAAGTGCAACCACGAAGGTTCAGTGGCGAAGCGCACGTGGATGCCAGAGATCTCGATGAAATCAAATGGTGACAGATAACTAAACGGAATGACCTGAATTGGCATGCGCGTTTTCAGTGGACAGAGCACCAAAAGTACAGATGCATGTAAACAAGCAGGAAAGAGAGAGAGAACGTGTTCACTAACCATTTGAGTGACTGCAAAAGCATGCTTGAAATTGTGAAACGGCACGTTGTTATAGCGTCGATACAATGCGAGGAGCCAAGCGTCCAGTACCTCAAGGGGGAAGTTGCACTTCGTTGGTAAATCCAAATCTATGAACATCAAGCGCAGGTAGGCGAGCAGTTGGGCATCCGAGTGGGGCCAATGATTGAAAGTGTGCAGTGTCAGCGAGTGTCGAGTCGCATCTGGAACAGGTGTGTTTCTGAGAAGGTGGAATGAAATTGGAATTTGAGACCAGATCCACACCGCCAAGGACCAACCGTTGGGCTGAAAAGTTGTTTAATTGAACACCAGCTGCCGAGCCGGTGACAATTTCAGATCCAATGTTTGTGAGGAAAATGATGCTCATTTAGAAGCGGAGCATGTAGCAAGGTTGCAACACGAAGACAGATATGACCGTATTTACGTCAGTTATCCTCGGTAGCCTAATACCAAAAATGTCGATCAATCGCCTCATTCTTGGTAAGACTGAGTGGTTTGAAGAATAACATACATACACGTAGGCTCTTGGGCCGTAACGCACATCTCCTCGAATACGTTGAAAAACGAATCCAAGGCAACTCAACATGGATGACCAGGGCTTATACCACCGGGCCATAGGTGACACAGTGACGGTCTACGTGACTGGATTACAAGCTGCGACGTAGTGGGTTTCATCCACCGACACTGGTATGCGCAGAGGGCAAGGTTGGCTCCCACAGAGACACGACATCCCTCGTTAGACCACCAGAACTAGTTGGAGGCATTGCAAGCTACCAATGGATGTTGGAGAGACGGATATTCATCTCTTTTAAAAATGGTGATGACCAGGCAGTAGGGGTATACCTGTGACAATCGTGCTAGCGTCTAAGAGCTAGTGGTCTTGTAATTGCATCTGTGTGATGTGAATGACCGAAAACAGAGCGCTGCAATCCTGTTTTTGTTTTTCCATGGGCACTGTTTGATAATTAACAGTGTTGAGTCCATTCGGCCAGCAGAGTGGATCCACCGACGACCACAGAGTGAAGGCTTCGAAGCGAGAAGAGATCATGCTCGATTAGCAGATCAAACTGGGTACCCTAGCGGCACTGGGTAACTCGTGCTGTCAACCACCGAGCGTGATTCAGTGTACAATTCGTGAAGTACGGTGAATTGTCGCGTAATTTTGAATAGTTTTAAAGCCTCAGTGGCCGCACCTAAGAATAACTGTATACGGCAGCGGTCATTGCTATAAACGGTAGGATCAGCCCATGGTTTTGGGACAGCGAAAGCTAATCAGGGGTCAGTATTTCACCGTCAAATTTTATCAAAGATACTGGTCAACAGAGTGTATTGACCATCGCAACCATGCAAGATGATGTCAGCTTGAATAGGCATAGATACCACGAGAAAGCGGTAACAGACCTAACAAACGATAAGCAGTCTCCAAGTGACGGGTGGACGAAGCCGTATCAGATAGACTGTTGAACCTGAAGCAAATGCGCCAGTCAGGTCACGTTCTATCCATGTATGCCGATTGCCTGCCCTGACCATGCACATGATTGAATGAAAACCCATTGTAACTCCCATAGGTAATATCAGGGAAGCGGTACAAAGGCCAATTGGTTGTGATGCCTGCAAAGGGATTGCCAACCAATCGTTGGGCACGATTAGATATAGTGCCGTAGAGAAGTAAATCGTGTTCGGCCTCCTCTAAAGTCACATTGATTCTATTCAGCTTCACATCGTGTGCAATTGTGTTACCACAGCGCCAATCAAGGTGACCGGATGTCCTGAATTACAATAGTGCGTTCATGGTTGACTGGTTGAGCTTGAAAACGTCAGCGCTAAGATCAGAGCTAACACGCGGTTGCGGTCAAGGACAAGGAAGTTAGGGACGAGGTGCATTACGGATGAATCGCATAACAGCCGCTACTGTTGTCGCCACTATGGATACCCCTGTACTTAAACATCACACTATTCTATGGAAAAATAGAACAAACGGAGGGAAGTGTTAGCTAGTTATTGTATGCACGATTTTCACTGATGTACATATGGTTGGCGGCATCCGGTTTCGGATTTGCCTGTCACCGTGGCCAGCCACAGGACGCCTGCGCCTACAGAGGGACCATGGATGGCTTGCGCTGCACCACCCACAGCTCCAAGCACACACCCCATATCCAGTGTAAACCCGAAGGAATAAGACCGGGAGGCATGCGGATGGGAGCCACGTTTCATCAACGGAGCCGGCACACACTGCTTCACAGGCAAACACAAGCACGCTGTATTTGGGGAATCAAGCGCACACAAGGCGGTGGCTGGACCGTAGTCCGCTCCACACTGAGTGCATGGAACCACCCTTCGAGCCTAACACGACTACAAGGACTGTGCACCCCGTCCCCTCCAGCAACGACCAACTGTCTCCTGGAGCCAGTATGGACGAGGTAGTGGGTAATAGACAGGTAGGCACCTTGTCAACATGCACATCAAGCGCAGCCACACCGGGGATATCAAACAACAGCCAATCACTTGAGAGAGAGAAAGAAAAAGAGAAAAACTCGATTAATGCATAAGGAAACGTTGACATAAACCTTAATTAAATAGCATATGTAATAAGTTGGTTACAAACAAATCCTAGCTAAGTGCACGAGGTCAGGAAGTATAGTTCACGGAATGCCACGAACACAAAAATGTTATGGAAATCGAATACAATTGGCTGAAGCGATGTGTGCAAGTTAATGGAATAGAGTACAGGGAGATATTTATATGAGAAAGAAAAGCAGTAAGGTAAAAACTGTAAACCCACCACCTGAAATAAAGAGACTTAGCATGCAAGCACGCGGTTAGTAAATCGAATTCAGCATGCCTACAAACGCTGCGCCGGCTCGCCGTAATTCTCTGCAGGACCCGTCGTCGCTTCTGTAGTGGCCCCAAATGACACAGCGCATGGCATGGCCCACTAGACATTTCTCATATAGATGTACATATGCAAGTTAACGAATAGACATAGAGCCATCAATAAGCATGGGAATCAAATGAAGGTACAGCTGTCATAAATGAATGAAAATTTATCGCCTTAATCCGAGCACCTCTGTGTTTTTCCATTGAGATAATTTATTTGCGAAATGACAGATTTTCGTCTCCGTTATACAAGCAACTGCGGAGGAAAAAAGAATAGACTTAAAAGCCATGCAACTGTCTGTGGTTATAAAAGCTGAAGTGGGCACGTTAAACAGGCTGTACGTTCACATTGCTTTGGTCATCAAGTTACCGTGACCTGTAGAGACTCCTAAGATAACCCACTGGAATGCAGTCATGCAGAACATTAAACACCGAGGATGTGGTGAAATCACGCTGAGTTCAGCACTTCATCACCTAACAAAGGTCCCCCACCTTCCCTCACCCCATAGAACTCCTCATATTATTTGAGCAAACAAGAGTTTCTATGGAGCTCATAAGACGGAAATCATACAAGGCCAATGGACCAGATTCTATATCCGCAGTTAAAAAACATTTTAAAGACACCTCTGACGGAAATCTCGAATCAGTGGTTAACCATTGGTACCATTCCCCACATCTGGAAATAAATCAGAATAAACCAGTGCCTAAAAAGGATTTCAGAAATGTCGGCCAATTGCGTACACGCCCGTGCTTTTAAAGATACTGGAAAAAACTATTGAACCTCCGTATTTTCACAGGTAATCATACTGATGACGTCAAACTGTTTGTCAATAAACCAGGGCGCACTACGTGCCGTTTCGTATTTGGTGCATCCCATTGCGTTCATGTTGGATAATTGAGGCAGGAGCGTAAGGTTCCTATTTTTTGATCATCCTCACGCTTTTGGGAGCATCGTCAGATCATTACTGCTCGATAATTTGTCCGAAAATGATGTCCCCCATATGTGTGTACTGTGACTCGTGACTACTTCACAAGTCGCACAGAATTCACGTAGTTATGCGGTAGAAGATCTTCTGCACTTCAGGCGAATTGTGGTGAGTTAGAGAAAGCCATCCTATACCCCTTCTATTCTCCTCATTCTATCGAATTACATACGCTGTAAATATGCTGATGAGATCGTGCCGGGTTGCAAAACACCATTCATTGAGGACTCTTCTTTGCAGCTTCAACAAGGGTTAGATCAACTAGTCTTGGTCGAGCTCCCGGTCTTTCTCTCTTAACCCTTCCAAATGTTGGTACGTAACATCTTATTGGCAGTGTGTGACCAAGAAACGAAGTGTCTGCGTTCATCTATCTGTAAAGGGTACGCAACCGGTCAGTCGGAAAAGTACGCAACATCAACTAGTCTACTTTGTAAGGTAGCAGCACTATGTCAAGTAGTAGAAAGCAAGTAGATACTAATCCAAAAGGGTTCTAGTCGAAGGGTAAATGTGGGTCCGTTGAATGTAACCGATTAGTCAAATTCAGTCTATCTTGCACACACTGTTTCAGATGGTACGATCCAAAAGGTGCAAATCTTTCCCAACATGTGAGAGCTCGAAACAGCGCCCAAGACGATATCTGGTTTCGTACTGCGTGTTCGACCATCACACTAGTCAAATGTATACTTCTAATACAAAGTGCGGGAGGTTAACAGAAGTTGAACAACAAACGAACGTTATTATATCACTGGAAGCGAGGATGCACCATGATAACACAGTGGCTTCAAACAGAAGCATTGGTGCAAAATTTGCTTCGCTCGAACCACGATTAACAAGGTTCCCTTTGCCGTTATCTTCTTCAATTTTGGAAGAACGCCAGGGAAAAACAGACCGTAGCTCTGATGGACAAGCGGTACTCAGGATCCCAAAATCAGGCACCACTCGAAACGCGTGATTGATCAAATCCAGCCGGTCTTGACAATTTGTATCATTAACAAAGATGGGACAGCCGAACCCGAGTCTACTGCATCTGCAACCCGAGCGTCTCTGGTCGAGTTCAAATCCCCTGAGACTTCAGTCACATATGCAGATGGCTGCAAAAGTCCCTCGGGATGCTACATTTAGTGTCTCCTCTGTTGCAAACACCGCTAACGCCAATAAAGCGACAAACAGTGGATCATCATCACTTGGCATAAAACCAGGCCCAACGATCACCCGACCTTGTAGTTCAACAAAAAAGGCTCCAATAATAAATATCTGACTGTTGTGCGCACCAATGTCCCCGGAGCTACCGCCATCACACTGCGGGGTAAGTTGTCTGATGACCAAGACCAGTGGAACTCACTGTGCATTTTAATGAACC